AGAGTTGAAAAAGAAAAAAAGAAGAAAGAAAAAATGAGGAAGAAGAAGAGAAAAGAAAAGAGATGAAAAAAAAGGCTTGAAAGAAAAATGGAATGAAGAAAAGAGTTGAAAAAAAAAGCCACAGAAGCAAGAAGAAGAAGAAGAAGAGAAAGAAAAAGAAACTAAGAGGAGGACTTGAAAGAAAATGGAATGAATAAAGAGTTGAAAAAAAAGCCACAGCTAGCAAGAACTGATGAGGAAGAAGAAGAGAAAGTAAAAAAGATGAAACTAAGAGAGAGGACTTGAAAGAAAATGGAATGAATAAAGAGTTGAAAGAAAAAAAAAAAGAAGCTAGCAAGAACTGATGAGGAAGAAGAAGAAAGTAAAAGAGATGAAACTAAGAGGAGGACTTGAAAGAAAATGGAATGAATAAAGAGTTGAAAAAAAAAAGCCACAGCTAGCAAGAACTGATGAGGAAGAAGAAGAAAGAAAAAAAAAGAGATGAAACTAAGAGGAGAACTTGAAAGAAAAAAGGAATGAATAAAGAGTTGTTGAGAAAAAAAAAAAAAGCTAGAAAAGAACTGATGAGGAAGAAGAAGAGAAAAGTAAAAAGAGATGAAACTAAGAGGAGGACTTGAAAGAAAATGGAATGAATAAAGAAGAAAGAAAAAAAAAGCTAAAAAGAAGAAGAAGAGAAAGTAAAAGAAGAAACTAAGAGGAGGACTTGAAAGAAAAGGAAGAATAAAGAGAAAAAGAAAAAAAGAGCTAGCAAGAACTGATGAGGAAGAAGAAGAGAAAAAAAAAGAGATGAAAAAGAGGAGGATGAAAAAAATGGAATGAATAAAAGTTGAAAGAAAAAAAAAGCCACAGCTAGCAAGAACTGATGAGGAAGAAGAAGAGAAGAAAGTAAAAGAGATGAAACTAAGAGGAGGACTTGAAAGAAAATGGAATGAATAAAGAGTTGAAAGAAAAAAAACAGCTAGCAAGAACTGATGAGGAAGAAGAAGAGAAAGTAAAAGAGATGAAACTAAGAGGAGGACTTGAAAGAAAATGGAATGAATAAAGAGTTGAAAGAAAAAAAGCCACAGCTAGCAAGAACTGATGAGGAAGAAGAAGAGAAAGTAAAAGAGATGAAACTAAGAGGAGGACTTGAAAGAAAATGGAATGAATAAAGAGTTGAAAGAAAAAAAGCCACAGCTAGCAAGAACTGATGAGGAAGAAGAAGAGAAAGTAAAAGAGATGAAACTAAGAAAGGACTTGAAAGAAAATGGAATGAAAATTGAAAGAAGTTGAAATGAAAGAAAAAAAGGAAAGAAATGAAAAGGAAGTTGAAGATAAAAGTTGAAAGAAAAAGCTAAAAGAACTGAAGGTAAGAAGACAATGTAAAAGAAATGAAACTAAAAGGGGGAGCTGAAAGAAAAAGGAATGAATAAAGAGTTGAGATAAAAAAGCCACAGCTAGCCTGAACTGATGAGGAAGAAGAAGAGAAAGTAAAAGAGATGAAACTAAGAGGAGGACTTGAAAGAAAAAGGAATGAATAAAGAATTGAGAGAAAAAATCTTGTAGCAAGAAGTGATCAATTAGCAGAATTCAAAATAAAACAGATGAGAATAATAGCTGAAGTGTAGGACTTGTTAGTAATTTTGAAGTTTGAAGAAATTGAAAAAAAAAAGAGAAAGGGTAAAAGAACTAAAAAATAATTCTTCTAAAGTTCAGACAAAACTCGACATATTACGTTTTCTCATGTTTTTTTACAAATTGTGTCTCTCATATATAATTACAAATAGAAGTATTTTAAATTGCATACAGACTTCATGGGCATCTTGTATTTGGTGATTATTTTCTCATTTTTGGTTTACTTTTGGCAATCGTTATATGTGACAATACGAGCCATGATGGTGCTATGGCTAGAAGCTCGGATTAAGGAAATGGAGAGCCAATTTTGAATTCCAGTCGAATCCATTTCTTCGAATTACAGTCAAATCCATTGAATTGACTTAGGTTAATGGGAAAGGTATGAATCCTCTTCTTCTCCCTCCACCTATGGTTAATTAGCAGGACAGACCGAGTTGTATAGCATTGGGTGGTAACTTGTCTAGGAGAAGACATCTCTGAATTCAAAACCTGATCCTCCAGGTTGGGGGTTGTGCAACACTTAAAAAAACTGGCTTTTTTTAGAAACTGCAACAATATCTTGCACCCCTATGTTCCTCAAGGAATTTAAAGACATAATATATATATATATATATATATATATATATATATTTGGAACCAAGTAAATGGTTAAGTACACCAGAAGCATATTACATGACTAGTAAGAGTGTACCGAATGAACTAGCACTTAATGAACATTAAATGTAGAAGCTAGATTCTACAGTATGTAACTGTATATCCCTTTTGTTTTTAACATTTTTGAATATAATTTTGTTTCAGATCATTTAATCTGTTGTATGAACATCTCCTCTTCATGATAATATGTTAAAACTGAAGACTTTAAGATTTCTGATTTCTTTTCCTGAAATGAACAATTAACACAATTTCAAGCATGAAAATTCACAAATAAATTCCTTATCTTGTTTCGTTAAAATTCTTCATCATTATCCTTTATTAATCTTCTTGGCGTAGGTAAATCAACTGTTCATTTTAACTATAAATCTTCGTAAATGACTGGATCAAATATCAAATCAAATGAAATGAAAACCCACAAGAACAATAATAATAATTTATTTTATGTATTTGCATGTTTATACTAAGTATAAGAGTGTTGAATGGTAGTCAGTTTTCTCCAGAAACTTTCTTAGAATCATTGCAGACCCAAACATTGCAGTTCTCAGTTCTTGTACAAATTTCTGGCTCATCCAAATCTTGGTATGGTTTACAATGCACTATTATGGACATGATATGCAGCTTGGCATGGGATTATGGTTAAAGAGCTATTCTGGTTGACCATTATTATTGTTGTGAGTAAGGTGATTAATGTTTTTGACTTTGAGTCAAATTAAGCTAGCTTGGGTAAAAACACCTATTGTGGGCATGATTCTCATCTTCAGGCTTCAAAACTATATTAGCTCTCAGGCAAGATCTTAATATTTTCCAATTTTTCATTCTTTCAATCTTCACCTCATCACCCACCAGTTCAGCTATGTCTGCTCTGTTGCAAGTCTTTGTTTCTGACTATCAGTTTTGTTTTTCTTGTTTTGATGAGTGTGATTTCAAAATCTCAGACTATTTTTTAGGACAACTTCTGGGTTTTTTAGGACAACCTTTGGTTTGTGATGATAGTATGTTATTAACATGGTCAAAACAAAATCGTTTGCACAGATCTCAATATATTGATGTTCTTAAATTACTGTTTTTTCATTGTATTTTTGAATGAGAATCATTTTGCAGTTGACATTGTCCTTTTTGTCCATTTTTAAAAATTTTTGATTTGATTATAATTGATTGGGCAATTTAATGATTGCTATCAATATTATTGATATATCTTCTTGTTACATCATATTTAAAAATGTCCCTTCCTTCCTTTAAAGGAACTATGAGAGACAATAGTAATAGTAGTAGTAATAATTCTTTTTACTTGGTTAATCTTAGTTATTCCTTGCTGTTGATAATATTACTCCAACCCTGTATCTTTTATTCTCCCACTATTCCTCCTAAAGAAACCCTCTCTATTTTTATATACTCTTCCCACCACTCGTCTCATTTTCTCTCAGCAATTTTTTTCAATTATATGCTCCCCCTCCCTCTCTAAACTTTGTTGACTCTCATCCCCACTTTTTGTTTCCTTGTACGTATGTGTGCATATATGTGTGCGCATACACCCACACACACACACATATATATATATATATATATATATATATATATATATATATATATATATGTATCGTCTTGTTTGTTCGCTGTTGTACTTATTCGACCTCCCACCTCCTCCTCCCTCAATTTACCTCCTCCTCCCTTATATTTATTACTCCCTCCTTCCTCTTCTTAATCTTTGCTTTCTTTCCGTCTCTCTCTACTCACTCTCTATTTGTTTTTTACTTGATCTATCTTCTTTTTCTTTCTTTTCTCTTTAGGAAGCGTTTCGTCTTTGAAACATGTCTACTGGCGCCTCGGGGTGTGGTAATGGTTAACAACTCGCCATTATCTTCACAGGGTGCCCTACATTATACTTAGTAAATGACTGGGCGCTTTGGCGTGAGTAATGGTTAACGAGGCTCATCTGACTGATCATTATTGAGTTATCAATTTGATCCTCACTGGGTGCCCTATTTTCTTGTAGCTTTTTGACATTTTTTAACTTAAATAAAATAAAAAATCTGAATCTTACTCGGTGTTAATTTTTTTTTATTAAAAATACTTCAGGGTCGGTTTTGCAAACACAACACATCTGGTTAACCATCTGTAGTGAGTTAGATACCCATCGGGAGCCCTATGGCCTTTAAAACTTAGAAAATGACTAAAGATGTCTTATTTTATCGATTTTTCCCCTGTGACTCTCTATAAGTCATATATTAATTTTCTGTCCATTTATACCGATTTACCCCTCTCTCTGTTTGCTTCTTTTTCCTTTTTTTTGTCTTCTCGTTTAAATTAGTATTTTTCTTCATTACGGCACTATCACGAGGCTAAAAACAGATGGGAGTGGGACATAGGTTTAGGAAGACTGTGTTACGCCAATCTTCCAAGTGGAAAAGCCAGTTGAGTATTTCTATGCAAGCCATCCCGGCTTGCATAGAAATACTCAACTGGCTTTTATTCTGGATTCAACCTGACACGGGTGGCAAATTATTTTTTTTTCAAAACTCATTTTCTTTAGCAAACTTGTTCATAGACGCAGGTCATTACCCAACGGGACAATAATGGTCTTTCTTTATTAGACAAAATTATCAACTGCATTTAAAAAAAAAATTCTTTTAAAACATTTAAAAATTACTTCATATCTATCTTCCTTTTTAAAGTCAACGTTTAAGTTTCCATTAGTTTTTTTTTAATCCTACCTTTTTCTTCCATCTGAAGACATGGCCAATTCTCCAGACTGGCATTCTATGATCGCGTCTCTTCACTCTTTTTCATTTATTCTTATTTTAATTTCTTTCTTCCACCCACTTTTAATTCTTTATTGTTTTTTTTTTAACCTTTCTTTCTTTTCGTTTTTTTTTTCTAATCCCCACTCTCTCTTAACCTTTTACTTTCTTTGTTTCTCTGGTCGGCCTTACTTTCCTTTTTCATTTGAATTTAAAGACAAACCTCTCTCTCTTTCTTTTTGCCACTTTCTGCATTCCCTCTTTCTTTATTAATCACTATTTTTTTAAAATTATTCATTAAACTTTTTCTTAATTCCTTGTGACATCTTTAAAAAATCAAACCTCTCTCTTTAATTCTGGTCTCTCCCTTTTTCTCTCTCTTAATAAAATTACATTTTTACCCCCTTCATCTCTTTCTTGCTATTTTACCCGCCCTTTCATTAATTAGGCTTTCTCTTTCAACCCCTCTCTCTTTGTTTTAGTCAATCCCTCTCTTTTTCAGCTTTCTTTTATCCTCCCTCGTCAGCTTTTCTTCGTCCTCTACATTTTCCATATTCTTAGTCCCAGTTTTTTTTATTTAAAAAATTGCTCCTCCCTCTCAGTCTTATTTATTAACTCTTTCTTTCCCCCCCCGTTGTATCTCTTACACCCTCCCTTTATTCTATGTTATAGTTTCTCCGCACTCCTTCCCCCTCTCGTTGGAATCATTACCTTATCGTCCTCTCCGGGTGGTCTACTGCAATCCTACTGCCGGCTTTGCAGTAGTCTCTCCATCTTTCTCCCTTGCAGCAGTAGAAGGAGGCAGCAGCCCAGTGCGTACGAACGGACAAAGCTGCAACAAAACACAAAGATCAAGAAGTCATTTTTTTTTTTTATTAAGACAAAAAGAAAAGAAATAAGTGACGCACAGCTAAAAGCCATTTCAGGCCGAAAATCCTACAGTAGGAGGCCTTTTCCATAAAAGAAACTCGCTTTTTACTGTAAAAGTTAGGATTTTGCTTCAAGCTTCAACCTCGTCTGTCTCCTCGCCATGCCAGGTGGAATAAAAAAAGACGATGATCTTTCCGAAGATATGGAGGTTGATGAAGGTGCTGAAGGTAAATAACAATTAAACAAAAACATCTCTTATTTAAATCTATATTTGCTTATTTAATTACCTTGAAAGTATCTCTGCCTTCTTTCGGTTACATTCCTTTTTTTTTCTTTTTTAAATCATGATGGACTTCTTGTTTATTTTTCCCCCTTCTTTACCTATCTACTTCGGCTTTTTCTTACACAACAAATAACGACATTTAAGCTCGATTTAATGGCCAAAATATGTCTATTTTGGAATTTAGAGATCTGTATGGATTATTTGAGGCATAAAGTGTAAAATATTTTGTTAAAAAGGAAGTAATTATTTAAAAAAAAAAAAAAAAGAAAAGTAAAATACTTTCGTTTTTTTTTTTTTTTTTTTTGAGTCAAAATTTGGCCTCCATTTTTTTTTCTCCCCCCCCATCATTAACCAAATATTAAAAAGGCTTTAAATCTGTAATTAAATTTGTTTTAATTATTTCTTCCTTTTTAATTTAATAAAATTTACATATTAAAAAAAGAAACAAAACTGTTTTATATATATATATATATATATATATATAAAAAAAAAAAATTTACACTCTCCCCTCGTTTTTTAATTAAAAACCTAAAAGTTAATTTTAAATTTTAAAAATATTTAAAATAAAACGAAAAAAAAAATTCAAGCTTTCTACACAAAAACTCGCATATTCGTTAATATCGAAAATTAAAAATGGGGGCTCAGTTTGCAAAGAAGAAGGATTTTAAAGTGATCCCCATTTCTTGTTGATGATTTTTTTTTTTTTTTTTTTTTTAATTTTAAAAAATTACTGAAATAAATATTATTCACTGGTGTGTGTATATAAAAATAATTTTGGAATTAAAACACTTTTTTCTCTAAATGATTAAATTTTGTCACTTGATCAAATAAAGTTGCAGAATTTTTTTTTTTTTCTCCAGTAAAGAAGGTGTTGCCAATCTAAAAAGAAAAATAGCGGGAAACAATATTTTTCTTTTTTTTTTTTTTTCCCCAAGAGTAATTCTTAATTTACTAATATAAATTGGTGTATATTGTTTTATGTTGTAATTATATAGAAATTCTTGAGGAATTTTAAAATTTAGCCACCCCCCATTTTTTTTTTTTTTTTTTTTTCGTGAAGGAAGTATATTTTCATGGATTGGATAATATAGGCATTTTCTTTATTATTTCAATTTTTACTTGATATTAATAAAAAAAAATTAAATATATAAAAAAAATCCATGACTTCATTTATTTTTTTTCTTAAAATTAAAAAGGTAATCAACATTTTTTTTTTTTTTTTATTTAATTTCATGTTAATTAACTATAAAGATATTCATCATAGACCATTTCGTAATTAGATTTTCTTTTCTTGCATATCCTTGGACAATGAGGTTTGCAAACTTCCTATAGGAAGTTTTCGTATATATATATATATATATATATAAATAAATGTGTGTGTGAGGAAAGGAAAAAAGATATTGTATTGTGGGAAGGTTTGGTTTGTTTATTTAATCTCTGAAATTGTTTTCATATATAATTAAATATTTTAAGAACAAATAAGTTTATATATATATATAATGCTCCTTGTTTTGTCGTTAATGTTGTCTGAGGCATCAAATATGGAGGACTTCCATTTTTCTCGAAGATCAATGGAATCCTGATAATTTTGCTTTTATGTTTTTTTTTTTTTTTTTTTTATTTGCTTTCCTCCCCAAAGTCGATTTCAATCTATAAATCAACTGCCCAATTTTTAAATAAATTTAGTAAATTTTAAAATATATATTTAAAAAGTAATAATAAAAACGAAAATAAACTTTTTCTTTTAATTGTTTTTATAGCTTTTTTTTTTTTTTTTTTTTTTTTTTTTTTTTTCACTTAAGACTCCCTCCCCTACCCATCAATCTTTTATTTTTTATTTAATTAAATAAGTAAATTATTATTTAATAATTGTTGGACTGCCAGAGTTTTGGTCAATTCCTTGTAAGACTGATTATTCATTCTAGTAAACTTTTTTTTTTTTTTTTTGTTTCTTTCCGAAGTTCATAAATATTGCGAGATCAATTACAACGACTGAGTAGTGGGTTCGATTCTCCCTAGGTGATTCATAATCGCGGCCTTGTGCCACATCTGAACTCAGTAAATCAATAATCTTGATGATTTCTACAACTTAAACCGTTACCCCCGCCCTAAAAAAAAAAAAATCATCTCCCCCTCTGGTGTTATCATCCCCCTCTCTATGAAATCTCCTCCTCCTCTTTCTCTCTTTGATTACTTATCTACAATAATAGACTATAAAATCTGTCTCTGATGATCATGATAATGTAAAGTCTTAGTTAAATCTTATCCTTTTTTTTTTTTTTATTCATTAGAAAGAATAAGTTTAGATGACAGAAAAATGAAAGATTTTGAAACTTTTGAATTTGTTTGCCTTGTGAGGATTCAATTGATCGAACTCCTTGTCTTTAAAAGAAAAACGGTCGAAATGCTATCGCTTTTTTCTTTGTCTTATTTCAATTTTTCTTTTTATGCCTATATATATATATATATATATATATATATATATATATTATTATTCTTCATCCTTTACACTGGTTTATTTTGCTATTTATGAGTAAGACACGTGTAAAAATGTTGAAGCATTGGATTGTTTTTAGTTTTTAAATATTGCTATATGTTTAGCCTTTTTTTAATTTACAATACTGCTCTAAGTTTTTATAGATATTAAATTAACCTGTTCATGGATTTAAATAAAAACAATTACATGGCCAGATCTAAATTAATTACTAAAGACAACAGATTTGTTTAGCTTTATATCTGCAAAAATAACATTGAAACAAAAAGGTGTCTGTCTTTTTTCCTAAAGAAAATCACTTATTGAAAAAGAAGGAAAAAGTCATATCTTCTTCCATTCATAAGTTTTTCTTTTTTTCTCATTTCATTTGTTTTCAAAAAAAAAAAAAGATCAATATTTCTCTCGCCCCAAATAAGTTAATAAAGAAACTAACTCGTGTGTGTAATATATATATATATATATATTCCGGTTTTGATTTTCCTTGTTCATTTTGCGTGTGTCTTTGTTCCTATGTTGCATGTGTAGAGTTTCTTCCCTGTCGTCATTATGGCTGTCCGTTTATTTTGATCGACTCGTCACGTCTTTCTTAGGCTGACAACGACGACGACATGTTTGTAATGTAGAGACTTGGGCTTCTTCATCACCACCCTACCTTTTTTTTTTTTCTTAACACTCGTCAGTTTAGCAGTGCCCAAGGTGATTCTTGACAATCGGCATCGATCTTACGACCCCCCCTCCCCTCCACAAAACAAAAGACATTTATCTCCATCTCGTCTTTATCAATCATTCCCGCCTCTCTTTTTTTTTTTCTTTTTAATTTTAACAATTATTGAAATATTTAAATTTACTCCATTCTATTTCCTCATAATTTTTTTTTTTTTTTTTGTGATGATCGAAATTTGGAATGATGAGCTTATGTATTCCATTTATTTTATTGACAATCATTTTTGGTTTTATTCAGTTACTTAAAAAAGGCTGTTTTAAGTCTGGATATAAACGCCATGTCCCTTTGGGACGTAGGCGATCCTGGCTCTGCACATGTTCCGTTTTTTTTTTTTTTTGTTTTTTAAATATCTGTAAATTGATATGTATTCTCTTTCTTGGGAATGTCCGTGGAGTGGTTTCCTTCCCACATGGTTTTGAAATCCAGAATTGTTCTCCTCTTACACTGGTTTCTACCCATGTCCCAATCTACCCTGCTATTGAACCCATAGCCGAAGGGGAAAAGAGCTGGATTTTTTTATGCCTTTCCCAATGCTATTAGAGGCCGCCTGAGTAAGCGCAACAGACTAGGACGGAACTTGAATTCGCAGATCCCACTAGACACACTAATGACGATTCAGATCATCCCAGACTGAGTTTGACCCTCAAATAATACTCAGCTGTAAATTCGAGTTTAAAAAGGGTGGCTAATTTCTTAAATTCGCATAAAATGTCGAGATACCCATCTTTAACAGTGAAAATCTTTTTATTTTTCACAACAAGGTGAAAATAGTTTTTAGTGCCTGTTAAACAGTCAATTTATTAATATTTCGAGTATAACTATTAAAAAAAAAAAAAGATAATTTAATAAAAAGTAAAAACTGCTAATTTATCATTAAAAGAAAAAGCAATAATAATAATAATGGCGTGTGTGTTATCAGCAGGTGGTTCAGGTTATGTAATCTTCCTTGTGGTAGTGCTTCTTCTTCTTCTTGTCTCTCTATCTCTCTTCCTCGTTGTAGTTCGATGCAGTTCTTTGTATTTCGGGGAACTATTATTGACCGAATTTTATTTATTTCAAATAATTCAAAATTTTCATTGATATTTGCTTTATTAAACTTAAAGCAATTAAAAATTAGCATAGTATCCCTAAAAAAAAAAAATAGATTACTTAACGTATGGAAGTATTTTTAGTCTCTTTCTGGAAAGTTTCACTTGTAAAAACAAAAACATAAAAAAAAAAAAAAAAAAAACGCATGTGTAATGTTGGCTTATGTCAATTCAATTCTTAGTTAGAAATGAAGCAAAAATTTTTTAACAAAATTCGGAATCAATGTATTTTTGAATGTGCACTTGAACTTAAAGTCGGTATTACTTTGGCGAACATTCCCTAGTAATTTTGAAACATTTGTGTTTTTGAAATCAATTCAATTTTAGTGTTATAGTACTGATACTTTATTATTAATGTTGACTTTCAAATTAAATTCCTTAAAAGAGAAATGTTTACAATATTTAACAATAACATGAAATATTTGTGACTTTTATTGAAATTTGTTTCCCGCTCTTAGAAAACCTGGCAATTTTTTTTAATGTTCACAAAATCAAATATTTATCACTTAATGGAATGGATTTTTTTTTTTTTTTTTTTTTTTTTTTGCAACGTGATGTTCGAACCCTGACCTGAAAATATAACTTTTTCATTGTTTTCAGTGATTAAAAAGGTATATGCATATTTTTATTTAAAGCTG